CTTTTTTTACCCAGCTCCTTAATCCTCAGTTTCCCAGATGCTTCTGAGACTTTCCTGGATGGAGCAGGATGAGGATGAGGAGGGGAGAGCTCGAGAGGTTTCCTACCTGGACTGTAGGAGCCGCAGGGGAGGGGCATGGGGCGTGTGTGGAACAGGAGAGCGCGGGGCTGCTCTCAAAGCCAGGATCCACAGCGGGAGGCTTCACGGTGGCCGTAAGTGTGGGAGGCTGTGTGAGAAGTGAGGTGGTTCCAACCCAGCCGTCCCTGTGTGAGTGAGAATGTCTCACTCTCGGGGTGTCCACCCACCTATGAGCACATGTGTCTGTGTTCACAGGGGCCCTACACACGCGTGAGTGTGTTGGGGATGGGTGAGGGGTCTGTATATGCAGGGACAGCCTCCGCATACACATGGCAGCAGAAGAGAGGCTGTATGAACTGAAAGGGCCGAGGTCTAGCGTTTGGGACGTGTGTGTGCGTGTAGACACGATGGAAGCCATAGAAGGGTCTGGTCTATCTGTGTGATGAGGATGAATGGGGGGTGGAGAGGGGTGTGGGAACGTTAGGAGAGGCTGGATGTGGGGTAAGACCACCGTCCTGAAGTCCTGGGGCCAGTGGAGCCCTAGTGCTGGCTCTGTCTCTGTGTCCCCTTCCTGGCGGGTGCTCTGGAAGCACCAAGTAGAGCTGAGAGATGTCCACGGAACAGGAAGTAAGATCCTGGAAGGAGGCTGGCGCTCGTCTAGGAAGGTACTCAGACCCTTAAACACATGAAGATTTCAACGCTTTGCAGAGGACACACGTGGCAAGGCCCAGAGGGAGGTGAGTTTGGCGCTCGCAGGTGATACAGAAAGTGGAATTTTCTCTGCATAGACAGTGGGAGGAAGAGAAAGATGGGGTGGGGGGACCTTTTAGAACAAGGAGGCCACATAACCAAGTTTTAGGTGACTTTACTGCTGTGAGGCAAACCTCTCCCGCTCCCCAAGCCTTCGGAAAGCCGATGCCCACACAGGTGTCCTGGAGGGAAGCAAGGGAAGGGGCTGAATTCCGGATTTGGGTCAATCTGGGGCAGAGATAAAGGAAGAGCCATGAAACCAGCACTGCCCGATAAAAATATAACATGAACCACATATGTAATCTTCGTTTTCAAGCAGCCGTAATAAAAATATAAGCTAAAACAGGTGAGGTTAATTTTAATAACATACTTTATTTTCGTATTTATAAAATATATGTATAAATATACTTAATAATATACTTTATTTTATTTAACCCCAAATACCCCCCCTAATATCATCATTATCATTTTCATTACATTTGCAATTTAGACTGGCCCCATTTCAAGCGCTCAGTGGCCACAGGTGGCCAGCAGCTGCCTTACAGGACAGTGCAGCAGATCAGTGCCCAGGAGCTTGAGAATTTCAGCCTCCACCCCAAACTCACAGCGGGTGCTCGAACTCTTCACAGGACACAGAATGAAAATTGTGCCCACTTAAACCAGATCTTAGGGGTCAGGGAGACACCATTGACCTCTGGTTTGGGAGTGATCGTGCGAGTACTTGTAAATAATGATGTCTCCATGCTTGGGAGCTGCCATATGCCAGGTTCTTGCCTGGTCCTCATGAATTCTCACAACGGCCCGAGGCATTTACAATTTACATCTTTGAGTAAACTAAGTGTCAGAGCTGTGATTGGAGCCCTGCTCAATCTGACCTTAAACCCCAATGGATGCATCAAGGCGCTCTCTGTGAAATGGGATGTGCGTTTTGAGAATAAAGGAGAAGTGTGCATGTGGGGGCTGGGGCCAGTTGTAGGCGGTACCCATGTCCCCATGTCTGGCAGAGACCCTCCTCGCTGATTGACAGGTGGTAAGGAAAAGTCTAGGTCAGGCCATGTGTGCAGGCTCTGCTTAGGGAGAAGGCGGAGGCCAGGCACTGAGCCATGTGGGCAGTGCTGCCTATGGGACTGCAAGAGCCAAGGGTAGAGAGCAGGGTGTGAGGTGGGGGGACACCTTGGCTATCTGTCCTGGGCTGGGTGGAATCTTACTCCTCAGTGAGTAGAGGGTGCTGAGTGTGCCTGTGCCCTTCCCTGTGCTGCTGGGGGTGGGGGGAAGGGGGCGCTAGGCATGTGTGCGTGTGTGCCCAGGCACAGCTCGGTGTCCTCTGCAGTCACGCCATCCTCTCAGCTACTTGTCTGGGCCACTTCCTTCTAGGCCGGCAGCCAGGCTCCCGTGTGCTCCTTGGAACTGATCAGGGAGGAAGGCGCTGCCAAGATCCCAAGGCAAAGCTGGGAAGCGGAGGGAAGAGAGGGGCCGGCCTTGAACTCTCCCAGCCTTGGCCCCTTGGCAGGCACGGGAAGAGCGCAGAGGCCCAAGGTGGGAGCACAGAGACAGGGCGAGAGTAGCCACCGCCTCGAGGGGGCAAGGATCAAGGAGGAGCCACCCCAGACTACAGGCTGGCTGTTCCGAACCTCCGATCTGAGCAGATTCTGTGCAACTCCTGGTTTAGGCCAGATGAGGGGCCCTCAGAGAAAGGAGGAAATTGCAAATGAGAAGTCAGAGGCAACAGCTTTCCAGAAAACCCGTGTGGTTGGGGGGTGGGCACCCAAAGAGCCGTCAGTCAACAACAGTCTATTGAGCACATACACTGTGCCAGCACTGAGCCCCTGCTGGCCTCTGCAGATGCATATGGCATTAACTAACTAACTAATGGGTATGGGATGCCCAGCAGGGAGGGGAACCAGGATATAATGATAGACGCATTAGCAATGGCCTTGCTCACGCTCTTTGCCAAAAGAGGAGCAACCTCTTTAAGAGCTCTGAGCAACCCAGACGGACAGCATGCCTTCGTGCATGCCTTCAGAACAGCTTTCCAGAGTGCCTACTGTGTGCAGGCACTGCGCCCCCTAGGGGCACACAGAACCCTGGCCTCCCGGAGCTTACTGCCAGGGCAGGAAGCCGACCCCAAGGCACCATAGAGAGCATATCTTCTCAGAGTGAGGGGTGCGGTGCAGGGCACCCCGGAGACCCGATGGAGGGGGGCTCTCTGAGGAGGGGGCCCGCCTCTCTGAGGAGCTGCCATTTGGGCAGAGACCAAAATGACCGCAGTGAGGAGGGAGTTGTGTGGATTTGGAGGACTGGGGGTTCCTGGCATGGGGAACAGCAGAGGCCAAGGCCTGAAACAGGAGAGTGTTAGGAGGCAGTGGCTGAAGCAGGCGTGTGAGGGACGGCGGGGTCCTGAGGTCAGAGAGAGGGGTGGGCCTGTGTGCCTGGTCAGAATTGAGAACCGTAGGAAAAGAAAAAGTTTTCCTTTCAAAGGATGGGCCCGGCTGCTGTTGAGAGGAGACTGGCAGGGCAGGGAGGGCACAGGGTGGCTGTCACGGGGGTCCGGGAGCAAGATCCTGTTGCAGGACTGAAGCGGAGTGGAGGCTGTGAGAAGGGGACGGATTCAGGCTGGACATATGGGGAAGGCAGAGATTCTGGGGAGTGAGAGAAAGTGGAAGGGGTCCAAGGACAATTCTGGGTTTCATGACCCTCCTGCCTATCCATTTCTGAACACTGGGACACTGTATTCAGAGATTCAGCCCTCCTCAGGGACCCTGGCCCAGGGTCCACCTAACCCAACAGCCTCAAGCCTGAGCCCCTGTCCCAAGTGAGGGAGAACACCTTGTTCGACCTCCCATCTCCCACCCACCACCACCGGGTTGGAAGAGGTGGGGAGGGACGATCGAGGGAGCTCCAAGCGGCAGGTCCCAGGCCTGGTTCATAGAACTCAAAAAGGGATTTAGAGGCCCAGGGACATCTGGTGGATGTCCTGCCCTAGTTCGGGTTCTCTCGGAGTTGCCGCCTGGAGCCAGGGCCTGGGGCCTGGGCCACAAGTCCTTGCTCTTCTGCTCTTTGTCCTTCTCAGTGACTCCTCTCCAGCTTGTCCTCCCAAGGGAGGAGTCCGACGTGAGCCTGGATGTGGCGCTTGATGGCAGCCTGTTTTGGCTGTAGCCACCTGGGAAAAACAAACTCAGGCTTCTTCCTGGCCACCCGAGCTCTCCAGGGCTTACACTGGTTCCAAACCAAGCCAGCAACACCTCCGCCCTGCCCATCAGGAAGAGGGCATCGAGCCTGGGCACTCAGGGTCCTGCGGTCCTGCCCCTCTCTTCATGTCTAGGTTGGCTTCTCTCGCTACACAGCTTACAAAGGAGCGCTCTCTCCAGGAGACCTGGGCAGGTAAGAGCCTGGATCTCCTGCTTCGAGAACCTCTCGCCCCTCCAGAAGGCAGTGTGGAGGCGGACACATTGGGTTTGAACCCAAGCTGTACTACTTGCTTGCTCCGTGACCTTGTCATTTATTCGCCCTGGGCCTCAGTTTCCTTATCTACAAAAGGATCCAATAATTCCCTTGCCGTCAGATTCATGTAAGGATTAAGACTAGGGCCACATACAGCAGGTCCCTCTTTCTTCCAGAGAACTTGAGGAAATAGCGAGATGCCCCTGAGGGCAGCCAGGGGCAGTGAGCGGCGGGGTGGCAGGGGGCTGCAACGGTGGCCGTGGGTGTGTAGCGTGGCAAGGATTCATTCTGCGGATGTTGACCCCAGATACCCGCACCGCCCCCGCCTCCCTCGCTCCGCTTGTTCCAAGCCTGGGGACCGTCAGGCCAGGAGCCAGAGTCAGAAGGAAAGATGCGGCCCTGGGCGGTGGCTGCTCTTTGAGTTGCCGAGAGAAGAGAGGGTGAGGCCAAGGCTGGAGCTGGAACGGCAGAGGAAAGGTAGAGTGGGGGGCTGTGAGGTCCAGGCCCTGGTTCTCCTGCCTTCCCCACCCTGACCCTCCGACCCCGAGCCTGGCATTAGGGGGCATAGCCCTGGCACCGCTGAGCCCCTCCCGCCCCGCCACATTGCTGCCCCAGACACGCACAGGTCTGTGTGCCCCTCCCTTGCCTTCCCCCAGCCCCACCACCCGCTCCAGCCTTGAGAGGGAGGCTGCTTTGTTCCGAGAAATGAAGCTAGCACAGCCCAGACGGACCCACCTGGGCAGACCCTCAGTGCTGGTCCAGGATGAGGGGCACCTGGGCGCTGTCCACCTGGGGAGGCAGCCGCTCGCCTGTGCGCACGTTGAACATGGGCAGGGTGGAGAGTGGCCTGGGCACCTCTCGGCTAGCTGCCATCTGTCGCAGCTCCTCCGTGTTCCCGTGAATGGTGCAATGGTGGACCATCTGGATGCTGAGGGCAGAGGGCCAGCAGAGTCATCAGCCCTGGGAGTCAGCCCTTCGCCCCACTTTGGGGGTGCAGCTTGGTGCTGCCTCTGAGCCATCCTACAGTCTTCCCCAGCTATGTGGGAAGAGACCCCTACACCTGATGGGTAGCGGGGAAGGGCAAACAGGAAGTTGTGGTCCCCGCTCAGTGCCCAGTGACTGAGGCAGGGGCTCTGGGTGCACATAGCCTGGATCCAAAGCTGTGTGTCCTTCACAAGTTGTTTCGCCACTCTATGACTCGGTTTCCTCAACTATAGAATGGGGCTAACAATCCTACCTCTTAGGATTGTTGTGAGGATTAAAAGGGTGTTTAGAAAAGTGCCTGGCACATGGTAAGAGCTCTTGAGATACTAAGACATAATAGATACCCACAGTGGATACACATTTCCAGAGACCCGTGTTTACTGGGCTTCGTTTTCTGTTTTTATATCTTGAAGTACCTCTAGGTCCTTTCTAGCACTCAGCTCCCTCCCCCAACACTCCCTCCCACCACTGATCTCCCAGCTCTCCTTCCCGCCCCATCCCTGTCTTAGTCTGGCAAATCTATACCTTCCACCTTTTCTCCCCTCCTAGCTTCTGCCCACGCTGTTTCCCCATGTCCTGTTGGGCCCTGACCACCTCATTCTTGGGCTCCTCAGGCCTGTCCTTTTCCCACTTTGTACCCTGACCCCTCACACCCCGCCCCACTCGGCCTCCAGCACTGACTAGCTCCAGAGTTTTGTTTCCTGGTCTTTGTTTCAGACCAAGGCTCCTGGAGGCTCCACCCTCGACAGGCCTAAAATCCCAGCAGCCAAGCGAACCCAAGGCCACATCCTTTGGGCAGTCCTTCCTGACCTCTAGCACCTGTTTTTCCTCAGAAGGCTAAGACTCATTCTCATTCGATGTTTTCATGGACTTGCCTTCTGCTGTCCCGGGGCAGGCTTTAGTTCATGCTGAGAAGTAGGGTAGCACAATGGTTAAGCATAGAGACTTGCTTTGGGTTTGCATGTGAGTTCCACTGCTTACTGGCTGTGTGACCTTGTGCAAATTGCTTAACCTCTCTGTGCTGCCGTTTCCTCAACTGTAATGCAGTATTAAATAAGTTAATACAGGAAAAACACTTGGAATGCCTCCTGGTCAGCATGTAGCAAGTGGTAGCTATTATCGTAGGGAGCCTTCGGTTGCTATTATTATCAGTGGTGTCATTTTATTAAGGCTCAATTAGCCTCCAGTGGAGGGATGACTCCAAACTCTTTTACAAGAACCCATCCGCATTCGTGGGGCTCAACCTGGAGACATTGTTTCAGACTACCTGGTTGCCAGGTCCGGCAGACAACCCTGACTTTTCATTACAAACAATAAGAATTGGTTTCCTTAACGAGGTGGGGCAGAAGCAACCCTACCTGCAAATGGGTTACGGATCACCTGGGGGAGGATAAGCGATGCCATCCATGTCCAAGCCTCAGCGAGTGGAGACAGGCTCCAGCTAGAGCCTGCGGATTAGACTACAGCTCCACACCGAATGGGCTACACTCCTCCTGGGGGAGTAGGACCCAGTTCTGTCTGGCTGGCAGGAGGAGGTGGAGTCTCCTTCGAAGGCTAGGGGAGGGTCAAAATGAGCTCTTTACCCTGGAATTTGGCAAGCCGAGTTGTCCAAAACACAATTTTCCATTCCCAGGCAAGGGGAGACTGAGGGGGAAAGAGAGCAAGAAGCGTGTGGATGCCGAGGGCCGGGGGCAGCCAGGAAGGTGATGCCCCCGCCGGGGAAGGGCTTCAGTTAATGGGCTCCCTCCCCACCCTCAGCCCCACATCTGGGTCTCATTACTCTGACAACACACACAGGTGGGAAAATGTTCTGGGAATGTTTTTCCACAGCGTGAGCAGAAGCCAGAACCGAGGTGCCTTCCCCCACAGTCTGTCCACATCGACACTTGGGCAGACGAAGGAATGGGCAGGCTTCCTACACACGCACGCACGCAGGCAAGCACACACACACTCCGCCACCAGTACACAGCCCCTTGAGCTCTGCTCAGGCACATGGACCGCAGGGGATGGCCGCTGTGCCCGCATGACTTCCCAACCAGTAAAATCTGACAAGGTGAAAAGAGAGCCACAGAATCACAAGCTGTGGACAATTGGAAAATGGTAGGCATTGAAAAGCAAAAAAAGGAAGGAAGGAAGGAAGGAAGGAAGGAAGGAAGGAGGGAGGGAGGG